CAAAAGTCTCTCTCTGACTTTTGCTGGCATTAGGAGCCTATGATTAAGGTTTTGGGTTGCTTTTATGAGTGACAGCACAGCCTCAGTCTCCAACCAGAGCCAAGCCACAGGAAGCTAGTTAAACCCTGTATCATCTACTAACATATTGATATCCTCTCAACTCCCCAGCCCTCTTGATGCCATATGAACTTCTTCCAGCACTTGCTGGTTGCAACAACACAGCAGGGCTGCTTTATTAGAAAAGTCCCATCAATTTGCTAATTAGCTCCTTTCCCTTCAAACCTGTTGGTGAGTCTGAAATCAGATCCAAAAATCAATATAGGAGCATTGAAAGCTGATACTTGTGTGGACAATTTAAGGGGCAGTAGGCTTCCAAATTAATTTACCTCCTAAGAGCTATCAGTCTGAACTATGCAGATTATAGAATTCTAGAGTGAAAATGGCTACAGCGCAAGGATAGAAGTGATTTGCTGAAGTACCCAAGACAGCCAGAGCAGTGCGGTCCAATGCCTGAAGACTTCCTGCTCTCTGTGTTGTCTCCATCCCCTCCCACTCCACATCCATGCCTGAACCACAGAACAATAACATTTCCTTCAGTTGCATTATTTGCAAGACCAAATGGTTAATATATCAAGAACAACAGAAGCCAGGTAGCTGAGTTCCCCAATTGTCTAAATTGACAATCTCTCCAGAATAGCCAGGCACAAGCAGAGAGTCTAGAGGGCTTCTCCTCCTTGGAACAAGCTATGCGAATGCCTTTTCCTAAAACTCATCTCTGCATAACCAAATGGCAGTGCTCCTCGATTTCTTAAAAAGACACATCTGTGGCTTCCACTGTTAATGACAGACAAAGTATTGTGTTTCAAAAAAGATTCAAATAACCTGGTTGAAAACCAAGGCCTTGCACATGAAATTTTGGTTTTATTTTGTTTTGTTTTGTTTTTAAGAAATGTTAGAGACTTCAGAGGTCATATTAAAGATATATAAAAGGAATGCCTAATTTTAGAGTAGTGGAATTCTTAATTATTTTTACCCAAATACATATACTGTTGTGGAATCTGTGTCCTTTTTTCAGTGTTCGGTGAAACTAAGCTAGTTTCATTTATGGATCAATGAATTCACTTATTTATAATCACTGATTCTCTACTTTTTACAGTAATAAATAAGTGAATAGCAAGTGATTTGCAAGTAATTTCCACTCAGAAGTGAGCATGTGAAAGCTTTTAATGCACTTTGCTCTTGGGTTTGGTTCTTCCTTGGCTGTGGGAGAACAGACCAAGCAAATGGCTAATTTGTCAACTGTCCGCAAGCTCTGACCGTGACTCATGCAGGACCCCGCATGCATCAGTAGCTTTTTTCATTGACTTAAAAGTAATCTGTTGCCTCTGTATTTTTGTTAATCCAGTGAGAATCTCCACTTATCAGAGGGAGAACCAAGTTGAGCAGCTAGAGAGAGTGGTTTAACTGAAATGACTTTTGTAATCATGGCCAGAAGAAAACAGTAGCATTATCAGGACTTGACATATCAGGTTAGGGGTTACTGCACAATTGAGTCACCAGTATGACTGAGTGTGTAACCCTGATAACATTTACAACATTCCTGGGCCTCTCTGGAGGACCCCAAACCTTATCTGCATAACCTAGCTGTGAGCTAGGTGATAACTTTGTTGTTTAAAAGTTCTTTGCTGAATTCACATCTATGTTTGTGAGTTTAAGAGTTTCCACTTTCAAAATGGTTAAGAGTGTGGAATGATTAGTTTCAGAGCTGGGGAAATTAGGTTTGTACCTTTATTCAGACAACCAGGCCTGGAAATAAAAGGAGACAGTACCTGATTTGATATCAGTTGGAGCCAGTTGTTCTTCCTATTAGATACGAGCAAGTGCAGTAAAAGCAAGATTTAAGAGGATGCTCATTTCCAACCCAGAGAACTGAATACAGAGCTGAATATAAAACTGCAAACCGGTGAGCATCAGTGGGAATTGGGAAAATGTAAGTTTTGCCTCTTGGAGGGGGTGTTTTCTACCATCTTACAAAGTGTGGCTAATTATTGTTTTCAACAGACATATCTCAAAATTAAACTTTTTAAAAAAAGTCTAGTCTTATGTTTCTAATAATATAATAGCATACCACCTGGAGCTGGGGACTATCTGGAGGAAAGGTAGTCTGCAAAACAGCCACCTTTGATTAAAGATGGGACCTGTAAATTTAGATCTAACAGCTGGGAAATGAACCACAAAACAAGGCTTCCCTACAGGGAAGAGTATTCAGCCACAAAGAGGACAAGAAAGAAATGCTTAGAGTAAGTATCTGGCACATGCAGCACACTTTGACTTTTGCAGGAAGAGAGGAGTGGATTGGCACTCATGCAGCAGCGTGACTGGTAGGCTGCCTGCCCAGTCCTGAGCTGAATTTTTACTCTCCCCCATTTATGACCTGCGTATGTTCAGCTGGCTTACTTTGTCCTCTGCTTTAGTTTCTCCCTCTATACAGTGGGAATAACAGGGATAACCTGGAAACATCAGTGTCAGGACCAAATTGAACGTTTTAGATACTTCACATAATGTTTGTTAACCTATGAGTGCTCAGAAAAGTGTGTGGAAAAAATGTACAGAAAATAAGCTCTTAGGGATTTCCTGACAGATTTTTTTTTATTATATTTTATTGCAACTTTCAGACTTTTAGCAATGAAAAGGTACTACTTTTCTAGTCAGCTTTGTTAGAGGCATGTGTACCTGAAGGGTCAAAGCCCTGCACTGAGCGAGTGGTACCAGTGTAAATATGGGAGAGATCGGAGGGGTCCTACATTTCAATTACCTTGTTTGCCAGAATGATCTTCCAGCAAGCCGGGCGTAGGGCCCAGGTCTCCAGACTACGTGCAGGTGGATGCAGGAGCGAAAAGTATGTTACTCTTGCATTTCAGACTGTGACAGTGCTCTTGAGGGACAGTGGAAAGGGGCAGGGGCTGCAAAGAATGGAAAGAGTCATGGTGACTACATGGCTTTGGATTTAGGGGCCTGGAAAAACTTGCTGAAGTGGAAAAGCCAGTGAAAGAAGAGGTTCTGATGCAAAGAAGACCGTGCATTTGGTTGTGACGATTGTCAGCTCTGAGAAACCTTCAGCTGGGTTTCACCTACCAGCGCCGTTTGACCTAGATGCGCGGCTGTGTGTCGGGGCAGAGAGAGGAATAAAGGCTAGGGAGAAGGCTTTGTGGAATTAAAAGATGAAGCTGTGATGGACAAACTTTTCAAAGTTCAGGGAAGAGACTGTAGTGGTAAATATCAAAGGGTAGAGGGGTGAGCCGAGAGAGCCAGCTGAAATTAAAAAGGGAAGAAGGAAATGACATGGAGGAAGGAACATTTGGGTACAAGCCAGCGTCCCTGTTTCAGAGTCATTCTCCAGTCTGACACGTAGGAAGGAGGTCAAGAAAAATAAACTTGGGAAAGAAACCAATTGTCTTTTGGCATCAACTAAGATGATGTCACCAGTTATTAAAAAAGAAAACCAGTTTCAGAAGTAGGAAGATGAAGCGGGCTGCATCTCCTGCTCAAAATTTAGGCTGGGAAATACGGTAAAAAGGTATTTGATGATAGCTGGAAGAGATGGCTGAGCACAGTCATGGCTTATCCAAGATACAGGGCTCTATGAATATTTGAAAGTGGAAAGAAAAGATTAAAGCTCTGGGGAGGTAGAAGATAAACCTAAATAAGAGTCCTCAGGAAGCTACAAAGCAAGGGAGGAGGGAGGGCAGGAATCACAGGCATGATGTCCAAAGGCATCTCTTTTCCTTGACAATTGAAGATTTTTCAAAGTATTTTGGACTAAATCTTAGGCTATTTACAAGAGCTAGAAATTTCCACTTACTTGTGTTCTTTTCTCATTTTTAGAAGAAACAAATAGTAGCAGAAGCTTTTGCTCCTGGCGTAGAACGCACCTTGCCACACTACTTAGCGCAGCGGTCATTAAATCATTACTTGTGTTGCTACTTGCTTCATGCAGGTTTTCCCAGAAGGACTCTAAACTGTACCCCAGGAGGGTTCACATAGATTCTTTTAACCACTGTATCCCAGTAACTTTTACAGCCAGACATGCAATAGGAGCCCAGTAAATTCTTGTTAAATGAAAGAATAAAGGAATGAGTGAATGAGTGGTCTCTCCCACAGAAAACAAGCTCACTGTATTCAGAGAGGTACTTCAGGATTTGCATTATTCTCTGAAAGTAACAAAGGTGGTTTAATAAGTGCACTGATTCTTTGAAAGCCAGTTAGTGAAGGGCTTTGGATTCCTCTTGAATCAAACTACCTTTAACCACCCCCGTCTGGCCTGTCACTGAAACCAAATGAAGAATCTGTCCTTTGAATGTAGATCAGGAACAAATTTAGACAGCGAGGAAGGTTGTAGACAAAATACTCTGTGTACTGACAACAAAGTTTTTCTTCTGTTTTCCTATCTGTGCAATTGGTATAATGATAAAGGGCGCTTTGGGGACAGTTAGGATTAAAAAGCACTTAATAGCAGACTCGAATGACTTTATTGTCATCTATGAGTATTTTCCTCATACTTTCTTTCCTTGAAAAGTTTCATTGCCAACCTTGTACAAATATGTTTACTGAAATGCAAGTAGGATGCTGAGGAGGCTATGTTTTTTTTTTATGGATTTTCCATCTAAAACCTTATCACTCACCTAAAACTGGTAAGGTGGCATATCCAGGATCCAATCGACAAAGTACACAGAATGGACTCTAAATGTTTGCTGATTGATTTAATAAACACTGCTTTAAGATTAAAAGCCAGCTATCATCAGTAAATTTCACCTTCATAGCAGCTTTACAAGATGGACATTTTCTCCCTTTTAGATGAGAAATTTCAGGCTCAGGAAGATAAAGCTACCTACTTCCCCAGTGTCATCCAGCACCCGCAACCCCTAACCAAACTTCCTTTCTTTTATTGGCGCCTAATTCTTACTCTGGTTTCTTTCTGTCTCCTTTTCTTCCCCAATCAGGAAAGGAGCAGAAGCGCATCACCGAATGGTTTCTCATCGCACTTACAGCAACCGTCTGCGTCATCTCGTTAACTTCCTTACTCCTCTGCAGAATGTAGGTATTCTCTACGTTAAGCGCTTCCAGCTGGGTCTGCGTATTGAACGCTGAGTCTTACTGTGCATCTATGGGACAGATAGTTCTTGTTATCTGGGGGAATCTACAGCAGTTTTGCTCCTGGATAGCTTTTCTGAGATGAGTACGCCCAAATCAAAAGTGGCAAACATCAGGAGGCGACACACAGAAACTGGACAGAGCCCAGTGTGGCTGTCAGCTGCTCCACGGACTTTCTACGTTTCTAGCTACTAACGTCTGTGAAGACTTTTATCTCTGTGTGCTTGACTCCCGCGCAGCCTCCCGTTTGCTACCTGCTTCTTTTTTTTTTTTTTTTTTTTTTTTTTGGTTTTTCTCCGGTACCGGGAACCGAACTCACGACCTTGCGCTTGCCAGGCAGGCGCTTTTGC